AAGCCTATAAAATGGATTGCCTCTGCCAAAAAATCTCTACACCTTATCTTCTATTTCTCGCTCTTAAGAAAGTTTATCTCTTTTATGTTTGATCTCTCTATCCCACATTGTGAAAGAACTTAAGGGTTTTAGGTTATGGAGTTACAAAAAGAGAATACATCTCTATCAAACTAGGTTGATAAGAGAATTCACCTAGGGTTTGAGTTTGTGATCAAAAGGGTTCATGTTCCATTGGTATAGCTTGGCCAAAATTTCTTTTTTCGGTTCGAGATTGAAGCTAGACCATTGATCCCATGCCATCGGATGGTGGTGACTCGATGTGAGGTGTAATAAGCCCGGTTGAGGTAATCTCCGGCAGTCTACATTTTGTTTCTTACAATCTTATCTTTTATTCTCAAGCATAGTGTATAGTTGTTTCAATGACATCAAGTTGTTAAGATCTTGGTCTTATTATTATGTTGATTTTATTTTGAAATTTATCTTATTATAATAGAGTTCACATGTAAGTGATTTTTTACTAAAAGAAAGGGGTGGAAAAAAAAAAAAAAGTATTCTTTAGTAAAAGATCACATAGGTCTTTCTTTCCTGATTGTTATAAATACGCTTGAAGTAAAATTTGTTAGATTGAGTAATTGGGCAACCAGATTCAAGCGTTTAGAAACTCAAAATCCAAATCTATATTTATAAAAAATACTCTTGTAATTGTAGAATTTCTCATTGAAAAAATACTCCTAATCGCGTCTTTTCCCGTAGGGAGTAAAAGTATAGGACGTTCCTGCGAGAGCTCTATACCTTCAACAGTTTTTGGGCAAACAATAATGCCAAAAGATATTTTACTCGAGAATGGGTTGAGGCCAGTGGTTTACAAAACGGATCGGTACCCGGATCGGGTACCCCAAAAACTCATTCGGATCAGTGAATCGGTGATTCAGATCGGGAATCTGCCGAATCGGTCTGATTAAGCTGTAAAAAAAATATTAAAAAAATATTAAAATCTATTATAAATGTTGTTTTTTAGGAATCTAATAAGAAATCGGAGTACTATATTATTAATTTTCATTTTTTTCATCAATATGTGAATATTGAGATATTTTTTCTCTGTATGAACTTATTTTAACCATTAAATTACATCACACAAAATAAAATCATAGAACTATTGTGGATGAAGTACATAATCATACATGGACTGCAATAAATAATAATTTTTTTATAAGAACATTTTAGTTTTTTTGACAAAAACCTTTTATTTTTTTACAAGATTACATTTTTTTTTTGTTTTTAGCAGGAACTTTTTTTTTTGACAAAAAGTACTTGTTGCATTATTATTTTTTTTATAAGAACTTTTTTTTTTTAACAATAACTTTTTATTAGTTTTTGTTTTTTTGACAGAAACCTTTTATTTATTTGAAAAAAAAAAAGAAATTTGACAAAAATAATAATTGATAAAAACCTTTCATTTTTTTTATAAGAAACTTTTTATTTTATTGATAAGAAAAAAATTTGACAAAAAGCAAAATTGATAAAAAAAACCTTTCATTTTTCTGATAATAAAAAAATCTGACAAAAACGAAATTGATAAAAAACCTTTCATTTTTTTCTTATGACAAAAATACTTGTTGTATTATTTTATTTTTTATAAGAACTTTTTTTTTTTTACAATAACTTTTTATTACTTTTTTTTTTTTGACAAAATTTTTTTATCTTTTTTGACAAAAAAAAGAAATTTGACAAGAAAAATAATTGATATGAACCTTTTATTTTTTTTATAAGAAAATTTTTATTTTATTGATAAGAAAAAAATTTGCAAATATGCGAAATTGATAAAAAAACCCTTTCATTTTTTTGATAATAAAAAAATTTGACGAAAAGTGAAATTGATAAAAAAAACCTTTATTTTTTTTTATAAGAAAAAAATTTGACCTCAAGAAAATAAAATTGACAAGAAAAATATTTATAAGAAAAAAATTTGACCTCAAAAAAATAAAATTGACAAGAAAAAAATAAAAATTGTTGAAAAAAATAAAATTGTTGAGAAAAATAGTCGATAAAACAACCCCTTTCGTCCCAAGGAGAATGAAACCCACGCCCTCCACTGGTTAGGGCAGTGGTTGAAGCACCACATGTACTGTAGCTATAGCCAAGGCTTCCATTTTTACCTAATGCATTCATAAACTACTAATGATTTCAAGAATCGAGTTGGGGCTCATCAACCCCAATTGAATTACCTATACCTAATGCATTCATAAATTACTAATGATTTCAAGAATCGAGTTGGGGCTCATCATCCCTCATTGAATTACCTAAAAAAAAAAAAGCATTGACGATTTCAGCTCGTCAACCCCCGATGAATTACCTCAAAAAAAAAAAAAACACTTATAATTTCAAAAAACGGGTAGGGGCTCGTCATCCCCATTGAATTATCCAAAAAAAAAAAGATATTTTACTCTCCTAGGAGCAATAGAATGTCAATTTTTTACTCCTATGCTATAATTCCCCACTTAGAATTAATTTTAGTACTCCAAATTTTGGGGGTGTAACCTCTTCGACCTACAAATTAACCTTAATAGAAATAATTTCCCAATTGTACCTTCGATACATTTGAAAAAAAATAATCTCAAGATTGAATACATATCATGCAATTTTTAGATGGTGAAATCTAAGTGTTAGACAACTCAATTGATCCTTTTTTTTAGAATAATTATCAACTGATTCTTAAGTTATTTCCAAATTTCCATATTGAAAAAAATCCTCCAAAAGTAGTTCTTCTAACCCAGGGAGCAGAAGTAAACTATGCATGGTATACATGTAAACAATGATAGCAATCCCTAGACCAGATTGCATGGTACATCAACCATTTTTGTATGTTGTGTGACCTAAAAAGAGATGCTTCTTCTGCAGGGGAATACTGTACATTTGTGCCCCTTGATAAAATTCTTGTTACAAATGCTTGTAACAAATATTTTTCGACTCCAATTTTGACAATATAACCTCTAAAACCTAGTAATCAACTTCAGAGAAAAAAATTTGTATAGGAATCTCTATGTGACTTAAGCCCAAGATTGAATAAGACACGTCCGATTATCTATTAGAGTGCATGACCTAGGTGTTCAAGGACTTAAAATCTAACTTTTTCTTTGAAAATAATCATCTAATAGTTAGATGGATCCCGCAATTGGATAAAAAAAAAAAAATACAAAATTACTCTTTTGCACCTAGGAGCTGTCAGACAGCATGCTCCCGTGGAAGCACACTTTAGGCATTCATATGTATGTCCACCTTTCTACAGCACATGGCAAATGAGTGCATTAAGAGATGTGTGGACCCTCAAGGCAACATGTCCACCAATTAATCAGACTTCCTTGGGGCCCCAAATTTATGTTGAAAGAGATGATGCCTGATAAAGTATTCATAGAAATCCCCTTATTTGCTTAGAATTATGCTTCCAAAATATTTTATGCACGGAAGCATACAGTCCATTTATTTAATTGGGTAAAATCTAGTTTAGGAATAATTTTAGGATTCCAATTTTTTTGGAGTCTAACATCAACCCACATACTAACGTCAAAAAAGAAAAATCAAAATCTCACTCTCTATATACTTGAAAAAAAGGTTGTCCCAAGATTGAACTCAGTCAAATTTTTTAGGGAGAACTCGGTGTTGAAAAACTTAAAATTCGAATCTTCAATCTGGAAAACAAACATCTTGTGATTGTAAAGTAGTTTCCCCGAATTTTACATTAAAAAAATCCTCTGAAGTGGGTTTTCTGCCCCAGCGAGTAGATAGACAGTATGGTCCATAGTATACGCGCTCTGATCAGATTTCTACCAAGGCCTTCGCTTGTTTCGTTTGAATTTTAAGACAGTTTAATGAAAAGATTGTATGCGGTAGTGGGAGCATTTCTGTTTGGTTTCAATTTTAAGAGAGTTGGTGAGAGCATTTATTCCTTCAATCTCTCCCCTAAAACCCGATCTATGAGTGTTATTTTTTAGGCACTTACATTTGAAGGATGTACCCTTCACCTAGTTCAACCTCGAAACCAAAAAATTTAAAAAGCATTTCGATGTCCCTAAAAAGGGAGGGTTACTTGAGCGTCGCTCTTCCCGGTACTCGGACATTGGCCTGAGGCATTTCCTCTACCCCTTCTTACCTTAAAAAAAAGTTCATGGTACTCGGACATTGGCTTGAGGCATTTCTTCTACCCCTTCTTACCTTAAAAAAAAAAGTTCATGGTACTCGAACATTGGCTCGATATTTCTTCTACCCCTTCTTACCCTGAAAAAAAAAAAAACAACAAAAATCACCTTGCATCTTTGAACCGATAAATCACCTTTCAACCTACCTAGCCTCCTTTCTTCCTCAGGTTCAACAAGGGGTAATACATAAGACTGGATTGCTCTCCAACCCAGTTTTGGCTCTTCCGCTCTTCATTCCACTTGGGCATAAGGCCAATACCAACAAAAACATCTCTCAACAAGATCCTAACATTAGCCAACCTGAAGGGCTCGGAAAAAAAATAAAGGAAGGTACCATCGGATGTAGCATGCCTTGAGGGGAACAAACCCCTCATACCACTACTGAAAACATTGAAATCGTGATATGATCAATTGAACTCGTCCAATTTTTAAACTATCGGAACTAAACGTTTGAAAACTCAGAATCCAAATTTAAAATTTGAGAATAGCCATTTGGTTATCCATAAATGGATCCCGAAATTTCAAATTGAGAAATAACTCCCTAAACAGCTCTGCCTCTAAATGGATTAGCTGTACAGTATGGTCCTGCAGGAGCATACTATACAGGCTGAAACCATTTTTTCTACGAATGATGTTGACTTTTTAACCCTACAACGACAAATTCGTCCGGTGTGCGGAAAATGAGAGAGAACCACTTGTATTGCTCTGCGTTCCAAAAATAAAAGTTAAAAAAATTAAAGATTTCTTATATAGAATTATTGACAGAACCACTTGGAGAAGGTAGTACTGCTACTCTGAGAGAGAGAGAATTATTTAAAAAAAGTTTAGAGGGAGAGAGAGGGAGAGTTGTTAAAAAAAGTTTAGAGAGAGAGGGGATTGACTTTAAATATACAGTGTTGAGAGAGAAAGAGGTAGAGAAATGGGGAACGGGAATGAGGATATGCTCCCTCTCTATGAGACTGTGAAAACAAGAGGAAGATTTGTGTATAGGATCTTTGCTGTAACCTTTTTTGGTGCTGTTTTGTTGATTTTGTATCACAGGTTGACTCATGTGCCACAAGGTGCTAAGTGGCTATGGATTGGCATATTTTTGTCTGAAACTTGGTTTGCTTTCTATTGGGTTGTGAACCAGACACTCAGGTGGAGCCCCGTTCATCGTCACACCTTTAAGGAAAGGCTTTACAAGAGGTTACTTCTTTAACCAACAAAATCTCTCTCTCTCTCTTCTCTCTCTCTTTATCTCTCTCAGAGTTTCCTTTCCTTTTCAAAGCAAATAATATTTGCATGAGTGAGAGAATACTCTCTCTCTCTCTC